AAGCTTCGACAATAAATACTCATAATATTTAAAGTTACTAAGTAAAAGTAACAGCATAATGTAATTGTTAAGAATAAAAACGGATAAATAAATTAGAAATAATATAAAAGAAGACTCGATTTGGAAAAAATAGAAAACGAGGCATGTCCACATTGCAAAATTGAATGTTTCTTATATCATTTCTGTTATCGCTTTGTTTTCTGTTTATGTATGCTTTTACAATCGTGAGAATGTATACATACATCTCAGATGGAAGCTCCTCAAAGTGAATTGTACAGCAGTATCAGACTTATAGAGTGGGATTCCCCGTTTTCAGTTTTATTGCTTAATATATTTGTCTTTCGTATTTGATTTGCAATACAATCACCATGAGAGTCAGCCACGTTGTTATTGTTTTTCATGCACTCCGCCCATAAACATATCTGAAAGAAAATAAAAACAAGTAAGAATGTTACCGTCGAGAGCACTCGACTTTCAGATACCCTGAACTCCAGTCTTAACCTATTCATGAGTCGTTTTTTTCGTATTTCTCGATTCACTTTCTTAACTATCGCTATCGATTATTCGAATCTTATTGATTTGGGGACCACGGTTATCGATACAATAGTAGGTGCTTTCATCATTTGAAGTGTCTGCCTCTAAGAGTCTCTAAGATAGATACACATATAGAAATACTTTTGCGCAACTTCATGAACCATTTTCAATGGGTTCTAGGTAAAAAAGAACTGTGCTTAGATTTAAACCAGGTGACTTCGATGATTTTTAGCACATTCCTGGCTACACTTTTGTTCCATTTCGATTTATAATGCCAGTGGAATATATCGATGAGGACAATCGTCTACCAAATCATCGCTATCGTAGATTTAAATTTAAATATAAGCAGCCAGATTTAACTCTTATGCATATGCAGATGTACATATATATATATGTGTATATATACTCACAATTTTCAAAGAGAGTTTTCTTGACTAGGGCAAATATGTTGTTGTTATTGATGTGGATGCTGATGTTAATGCTGATGTTAATGTTGTTGTTGTGCTTGCGGTTCATTCTGCTTTTTGCTTGTTATGATTTCTGTTTGAGCTTTTACTCGTATGTTAATGTGATTCTCACACTTTTCCTGTTTTTTTGAAAGAGACTCCCTGTAACTCACTTGCCAAGCCATCTATTCATGCATGCATACTCCTACATACATACATACATACAAATAAGTATGTACATGTACATTGAAAATTTAATTAAATCAACATACACAAAGAAATTATTTTGTTTGGCATACGCATTGCGAGAATCCGAATTTAAATTCAAAGTGAAAACATTATAAACAACAGGGAAGAGTTCCCAACGGCATACCAGAGAGCGACTCTGACTATCTGGGTATTGCTTTTACTTTTGCATTTGCTTTTGATTAACATATTTCTTTTATCTGAATGGAAACTGAATGGAACGAGCCACAAGTGTAGCGGAGTGAAACTGCTTACCCAGTTTACCAACAGAGTTCCACATAAGCATATTAGTCAAGCTATGAAATTTGTATACCCCAAGCCTCTCAAATACATATGTATGTACGTACGTATAAATGAATCAGCCTTTTATCATCAAGTACTTAGAGTGAAATACATAAGTAAATACACTCATAAAAAATATTTTGGATTTTTCTTTCTATGTGTGTAAATTTGATATTTGATTTGATTTCTTTGTCATCAGAAGCATAATATATTATATTCATTTACTTTCGCACCTCAAACAAATTGTTTGTACACACAATCAAATTAAATGAGATATAAAAAATAATCTTTTAAATGATGTAATGATTTTATAAACGCAACAACAATAAATAACCACATCACAAGAAGCTTATCCGCTCTTTAGTTTTTTAATCATTAGCAAATTGAGCGTTTACATTTCATTTTATGTTTTTTTACAGTAAACACTAACACAATTTGTATTAAACTAAAACAGTTTGTTCATTACAATCACGCGTTTCACTTACAATTGTTTAATTCAGCAACTGATTCAACTGATTTTTCAATTGGATAAAAATGTACACTGCGTGAATTCTCCCAGCAATTATCTTGTACCCAGAAATGTATGCATGGATGTATGTTTGAAGAAAATCGAACTAAACTGGAAATGTTTTCTATTTGTTAGAAACACTTTGTATTAATAGGAAAATCAATTATAAGAAATAGAAATTCAGAAACATGTAATGAAATTTACTGACTCGTTTTTTATATTAGAATTCAGCAATCGTCTGCTAAAACACATAATAATCTTTAATTGTCCAGAAATAGACCCCTGGAAATCACACATATTTTTTCCATATTTTGTAGAAATTTTAGAAATTACCATTGGCACCAAAAGTATTTAGTACGATTTTTTTATGAGTGTGTGAATGGACAGAGGCAATACAATTTGAGATGAGCATAGACAGCAAAAATAATATGCAATATTTGTTTTTAATTTCTTTTCTTCGCACCTTTCAGCATATATCAAGTCACTCTACTGATATTTGATCTATTTTTGTGTCTTAAAGTCCACTTAAAATGCACATATGTATTTATTCATGTAGTAATGTATGAAAATAAAGTTTTCGCAAATATGAAAATAAGTTTTCAGAAATGCTTGTGTTTTTTCATATGCTGATATTGATGAAATTGAATTGGTGGCAACAGCTTAAAAATTGTACATTTTATTGCCATAAGAGAAGGAATTTATCATCAAATGAAATAAATTTGATCTACGCATTGGAAACGAGAGATTTTATTATAAATTCCAAGAATAAAAACCATTTTACATACCCATACCCACACACACACACTCACATACAAGCATATCCATACATTTGTGTGTGTGTGTGTGTGTGTAATATACAGCTATACTGATAAATTTGCAACATTAACAGTCAATGTCGGATGCCATCAAATATAAATGTTTGTTTACAACATGATTTTTATGATGTGAAATGTGAGGAGTCGTAACTGGCATAGAAGCCTCATAAATAATGGGAAGTGCAGTTTCAAATCGGCCACTAATGGAGGTGCTCAATTGATGATGAGGCAAGCAAAGAAAATCGCCACAACTTTATGTTGCATAATATTATTGACTGACTTCCTTACAAGCAGCCCCCAGATGTGAAACTGCCAACGGCAACTCACAAGGCCAGTTAATGATGTGGACTGGGAACTGTGGTCTGAGGCCTGGGGTGTGGAATTTGCACTGAGGGGGGGTGTATCCTGGGTGGGCTTCGTTGGTTGGTTGTGTGGGCGGGTGGGGGGAGTAGAAGGCAATTGGCAAACATTCTAAAAGTTATTTGGCAGCTGCTCTTTGTGAAAGTAATGTACATACATTATTTGACTGCTGTTCCGTTGTCGTTATTGTTATTGTATATTGTATATTATTATTATCATTATTATTATTATTAGTATTATTATTATGATTACTGTTATTGTTTTTGCATTTTAAACCAAATGGACTTTTATGCGTTTCTCTCCATGTATGTATGTGTGTGTACGTGTATGAATGTGCCTGTCTCTAAGTGTAGCTGTAGCTGTACACTTATAAACAAAATCGCCCTAAATTGTTGTAAGCTTGCTGTCAATGGCAAGAAAGTATATTCCTAAAATTGATGCTTGTCTCTTTCCGATATCCAGGCTGTCGTTTTATTTATATTTTATACATTTCTCATATTAGGACGATTTACTAAAATGTTTGTTGATTTTTTTTCTGAGTGTATGCATGCCAAAAATTAGCCAACAATGATTTTGGCAGTCTTTGGCCGTACAATTTGATGCTGGCTGCTTTAACTGCCTGCCCATTTGCCCATCAATTTTACTTACTGTACAGACACAGGCAGGCGGCCTCTCTAAACATTTCGCTCCCATAAAAAATACAAATTTCCGCATAAATTACCAGCTCAACATTTTTTGATGGGCCTTCTTCATCTTCCTCTTCTTCGGCTTCTACTTATTCCTCTACTTGTTGTTCTTATTGTTGCTTATGTGTAAACATAATTGATGCGTTTGAAAACATATATATATATATATATACTTATATATATATATATATATATTTATATGCATGTGTGTGTATACACCCGTCCATAGATAAGAACAAAAATGGTTGAGTGTGAGTTGTAATGGTGCCGAAGATTTAATACCCTTGCAGACATGCTTCTACACATGCGTGAGAATCAAAATATTATTTCGAAGACAGGGACTTAATCTAAGAATATTTTCCTTACTCTTGACTTGACCTGACTTTTTCCACTTTTAATCAGGGTACGAAACTAGAACTTTATCGACTTTCAAAAATTGTATGAATGAAATTCAACATTTTTTAAGAGCCCGTTATTATTATACCACATAGTACAATAAAGTTATCGAGAATTGAAATAATTTATAGCTTTTACGATTCCATTTCATACCCATAATTTGTAGCTGAATCAATGATATTTTCTTGATATTTGAGTATTAATTTTCATTAATTTTCACATCATTACTTTATTTATGTATGTTTGCTTATGAATATTCATAAACACTCGCAGGCTGCGGGCTGATTAAAGAGTATTCAAACTGGTCAATTATTGTTTGGCATCAAATGTTTTACTAAGCATTATGAATGATGTCTCAGTTTTATTAGTTGGTTATCAATGAAGAGACCGTGCTGGACAGGTATGTACATAAAAAAAAGAAGGGCTGCAAATGTCACACATAGAGTGGCAGTGACCTATATATTAACATACTTACTTAATACACATGCTAAAGGCAGTGATTATTATCGCATTGCCATCATTATGACGATTTAGACGATTTACACAGGCGCTGATACATGGAAGACTGCTTTCCGTTAGAATCGAGACACAATTCACTGATTAGTGCTGACCTCCAACCTTGAAGCGCCTGTTAAGCCAGATAAGCCACTCAGAAGTGGAACTACGCAACACATTGTGGAACTACATTTGAGAATGATGCGAATCTCATCGCAGTCCAATTCCAAATTCACAACTTCAAAGACGTGAAAAATGAAACTAACGCAAATCGTGCTGATCTGTGCGAGTGTTTGCCTCTGTCTATGCTTATGCCCCAACGGCGGAGAGGCGTTGCATCTGCGGCAGCGACGTGTGGCAAATGCAGCACCCGATGACGGCAATCTGGCCAACGAACTGGAGGCGATAGCGGCAGCAGCAGCGGACAACGACTCGGATGACGACGAGTCGGCGGAGAAATTTGTCTCGGATGTAACAACAACGGCCCAGCCGCTGGGCATTGTCTCCATCAAGTCGCGGGCCATTGCCATGGATCGAGCCCTGTGCCAGGTGCAATCGCGCTATCATCCGCACTATCCCAAGTGTCATCAATACTGCAAGAGGCTCGAGCATTGGATTGGTCAGTGCTGGCGCGAAAGCTGCCACTGCATCTCCTAAGGCAACCGTAACCAGCATCAGTTTCATCGTCAGTTTCTAAACTTTGTACTTATATAATTATAAGATTTGTTTTACAAAACTTCTAATTACTCACACTTGTGTTTGTTTGTTTGTTTGGTTCAACTTGTTTCTCGCACTTATCTTTGTTTGTTGCCTAGTTGATTTATCCTCTTAGATGTGCCTATTAAAGTTGAAAAACACTTTTTGGATGACTTCATCATCATCACCAGCAGCAGCAGCAGCAGCATCAGAATCATCATCATTGCCTGTGTCGAATTAACAAGTTTTCATCATTTTCTTAATTCTTGGCAAATTTGTTGATTATTTTTGGGCACTTTGCAAACTTGCACCTTTACTTTTGACTTTTCGAAGCCGCTCCAAGTCGCTCACAGTATGGAAATGGAGGCATCAATTATGCAAATTGATTTTAACTATATATTTACACAGACTTGTGGCATGGAATTAAATATTTCATCTGCATACAATAAGTCAAACTCATTGGCAGAGTTTTAAGCTGATTTATTAACGATCAAATACTTGAAAGTTCGCATTTTTCGAATTTGATTTAAATAAAATGGCTAATTTATATTTGTCATAAAAAAAATGTAGATTCAAACAATTATTCAAAATCAAAGACAAATAAGAAACAAAAATATAACAAAAAAAAGTCTCAATTAAATTCTATAATAAATTTAAAAAAAAATTTATTAATTAAAAGGTATAAAAGGCTCTAATTTCCGAGCAGCTAATATATTATTAATATGCGATCTTTTAACAATAAGAAGCCAGTAAATAAAGTAAAATATATTAATGGAAATCGATACAAATCAGACTGGCAACAGAAATCAATTTAAGTTCAAATCAAACTAAATCGACTGAAAAGCAAATACAAAAATAGCGCAAGTATTGGATTTTAAGTGGTTGGTGTAGGGGATAAGGGAAGGAGGAGGTGCTTTGCAGCAGTATTGTACTATCATATGTGCAAATGTGAGAGAAAACAAAAAAATATATCTATGCAAAACCACACACATTTCGCTTGCTTTCCTCATGTGTGTGTGTGTGTGCGTGTGTGTGTGTGTGTGTGTGTGTGTGTGAAGAGTGTGCGAATGAAACTCTTTCATATGGTAATTTCAGAGTAAACAGTACTGGCCAAAAAAGCGCGACCAGAACATGCCGAGAAGGACCACATGGACGGATGGACGGATGGACAGACAGACGGACAGGTGGACAAACGGTCGGACAGTCAATAGAAGAACATCTCTGAATATGCATACATGTAACGACTGACAGCTACTAATATCACATGTGTGTGCACACACACACATATGCAGCTATTTATACCATGCTGTTGCAACTAAAATGCTCTGGTTACTGTTTTTACCTTTGTTGTTGTTGCTGTTGTTGTTCCACTTGTTTCAGTTGTTGTTGTCGTTGCTTTAGTTGTAGTTGTGGTTGTTGCTATTGCTGTTGCTGTTACTGTTACTGTTGCTGTTGCTGTTGCTGTTGTGCATGGTAAGCACACAAAATGCATATTCATGAACTAAGTGGCTGCATTTCAGCGCGTTAATTTTTGTAAAGCTTCTTTGTGCAAATTGTGAGCATTAACAATTCTATTTTCTATGCTTTTTTGTGCTTAGAGCTTTGTATTTTTCTTCTTCTTTTTTTTTTTTTTTGGCAATGCCACTTCCACAGTGCTGTTAAAAAATATGCGTCTCGTATTTGCATTTGCTTTCACACACATTCTCCAAAATTATAATTATGCCCAGGCACTCGTACGACTAAATAATGAGTATAATATCAGATGTGCCTCTTCTGCTTGTTGTGTTATATTTATTTAGACAGAAATTAATTAGTCAAGTTATGTGCAACTAATGCAAACATTTGGTATAAGCTGCTACCTGTCAAAAAAAGTTACGCGAAGAATTCTTAGTGAAGTGTATATATGTATATATATATATATATATATATATGTACATGCTTATAGATGTTTCTATAACTGTCATCCGCTATCACTAGCCGGGTATCAATTAAGGAGGCATCCAATAAATGATTGCCATCAGTTGACATTAACAAGGAATAGCCATGGATGGATGGCAACATTATTAGCCCATTTGATTGATCTGATTGTGTGCGGCCCTTAAAATTTAATGAGCTACCAGAAATGCCAAAAATATGCCCAAGCATTGGATTCGATATTCGGGCTGCTTTCAAATAATGCCAAATGGCAAATGCCAAATGTCAAATGGCAAATGGCACACGTCAAATGGTTTATGTGGGCATATGTCTAAATGCCCAACAAAAATAATAATAATAATAATAATAATAATAATGAATTATAATATTTAAAGCTACAAAATTGAAATGTAAGTGCATATAAATTGAAGCTATTTATTACATATACTTATCATTGGGCATATTCTAGTCGAGCCATCACAGCCAACAGGCTTCTTTCCAACATGTTTGCTCAGCACTTGTGCTGTGTGTGTTTTTGTGGGACCGGCTCAACTGATTTAGCTCAATAATGCGACGCGTCCCTCACGTTGACAAGGGTCTCGGCAGCATCAGTCGTTGTCAACAGATAATAACAACAATAACAACAATAACAACAAGTAGCAGCACAGGAAACACGAGTTCGTTATTTTTACCACAATGTTAACACCGCTTCACGGTTTGAAAGGATGACTCTAAAATTGCCATAGATCGCTCTACTGCAAGGTGCTTCCATTGATAACTGCACTCAAGAAGAAAAATTGCCTAACATTCATTCTTCCTTCTATCATTCAGAAAGTATATTTTTAGAAGGATAACTTGCGTCTTTCTGAAAACCAGCGTTTTTCTTTTCTTAATCCCAGGATACACATTTCTATAGAAGTTTCTTCAGTGGTGCACCTGGTGCAACTGCTGATCCATTTGGTTTATCTGAGTTTTCTGTGTTCAATTTGTCCTCAACCTTCTTGGCATGGCGTTCAGCTGATTTTGTTCAACTGTTCAGAATTAATCGCAGACCGCAAAACATTTTCTCACACTGACATTACTCACTCAAATATGAATAGTGATTTGCACGAAGAACGTTTTCATTTGCCGGAAACAAAATAAAATATTCGAGTTGTTGAATTCAACTGAAACCCAGTTACAACCTATCCTACTAGCCTATTTCAATTTCTCGACCGGTTAACGTATTTCCAAATTGAAATGCAGTATTAATTGAACGGCCAAGTTTTGACCAACAAATGTAAACTATTTATTAAATATATAGTTATTAATGCAAATTTAACAAGTGATTGCACCCAGTACAAAATTCGTATTATAATAGTTTAAAGCGTTGTTGCCTTCTACAAGCATCCTTAGCAAAATAAGCATCGTGGGAGCCGCAGCAGCAGAGGAGGCAGCAACACTACACTCAGAAAAAAGAAAACGGTGTGAATTCAAATTCGAATATCGACATATTTTTGGGTGCAGCTAGTAAATTTTTAAAAGGATATGTTGTATCTCTCTTAGAAGCGGGGTTTTCCTTTTCCACATTTCAGGAAACATTTTCCTACACAGAATTCCAGCATTAGATTATTACTGATATTATTAATAATCGTTAGCATTTCAGATAGTTTATAAAAATGCATATAATTTAATTTGAAACCACATCATTTTAGTTCTCAGGAAGAGTTGCATTTTGACGCGATTTTCCAAATGTCAGATCGAATTTTTTTCCGAGTGTAGCAGCTGCAAAGTTCTTAGCCAAGTTCGATCAAATTTGGGGTAGAAGAAGTAGGATGAGTGGGTGGAGTGGGGATGAGAATACTGTGTGCATGTAAATTTTAGCCAGATACAAAGCATACATATCGTATAATTCATATAAATTTGTTGGGCACAAAACTCTCCCCGGGGTGCATTTAACTAAACGCAGCAAAAGCTGAAGTCGAAGCTGAAGCTGAAGCAGAAGCAGAAGCAGAAGGAGCAACTGAAGCCGGTTGACTGCTCGTGGCAATTATAAATTGTTGAAAATAATTTCATTAAAAATGTAAAAAGCGGCATCAAATGGAAAAGTGTATTATTAAAAGCGAGAGACGACCGGCAGGAGGACCTATGCCTGAAGTTAGAAACTTGAAGCAGCAGGAGTCTGAGCATCAGCAGGAGTACAAAGCCGTAGACCGGCCAACGTGGTCGTACATATTGGCAGTCTTTCTCTTTATCCGTCGTGTCCATGTCCATGTCCATGTCCATGTCCATGTCCGCGTCCGTGTCTGTGCCCGTGTCCCTATCCATTTTCGGTGTTGGCTACGTGCTGCCATTAACTTACCTTTTGTCCTGCTCACACTCACACACACCAAAAAGACATTGTCTTTGTTGTTGTTATTTTTGTTGTTGTTGTTGTCGTTTTTGTTGTTCGAACTTTGACTTCCTGTGCCCGAAAGGTTTGCACTTTGCGCCTCCGCCATTTGGCTTGCAAATTTAATGCGTTCGTAAATTTCCAACTGAAATTTCATTTGCGTTAGTTCATTTCGAGTGCTCCCTAGCACACCTGCCCGGCTGCCCTCCACCCACCCGCCCCGCTTGACCCCGTTGCTAGTTAACAGTTGGTAGGTATGTATGTATGTTTTTATGGCCATCATTTGAATATTAGCTTGCGAAAAATGTTCCTACAAGTTTTGTTCATTTTGCTGACCACCCGCGCCCCACAAAACCAAAAAAAAAATTCTCAAAATGCGTGCGGCATTTTTCGGGTACACAGGAAATTAAATGGTAAACTTGACATAAATCGGTATCCAGTGCAGTTCGCACCCAAATATACCAATGTTCAACTCGAAGCAGACCACCTGGCCTATATGTACATATACATTCATGAACAAAATCGATAGCCGAGTAGATAAAGTCAATAAGGTCGATGCTTTATACTCATCTTCAGTATTGATTGCTTGTATTTAAATCAAATTGTTGTATTTTTGTACCCATATCTTAAGCATTTTTCTCTTACATTTTCCAAGACATATATACTGGAAGATCCATAGGCTCAAAAGGTAGCATAATAGATCTAACAGATCGCAGGGCATGACACACTTGACATAAAGTACGAGCAGGCGGCAACAGTTGGCATTATTGT